TGATTTAGTAAGATTATATTTGTAGTTCTACTCAAACTAGAATGTTAGTTGGTATTCCACTCCTAGTAGAATTCTTTTTCCTATTTTAGTTAGACTAGGTTTTTTTAACCTTATTCTTATTCTCGTTTAATTAGGAGTAGTTTTCCTTAACCTCATCAATTTTTAAAGGGCTCAATATGTTGAAAATAAAGGTTGATGATTAGTTTCTTTGAGCATAAGCTTCCAAAGCGTGATTAACTTTTTTGTTTTCTTTTTTTCGCCTTTTCAACGATTCTTGAAATCTTGTGGGATTGAAGAACGTGTGAGTAAGGTTTTCTCTCTTCTATGTGCTTGAGAGGTGCAAAACCTTGAAAGTACAGCAATTTGATATCAGAGCATAGGTTCCAGGTCCGAATTCTTAGTTTGCTATCTTGTTCATCGTGTCACCGGACAAGAAAATAGAAAGTTCGGGATCCTCTTCAATGGATCTTAAATTAAAACTTTCAGAAATTAAGAACTATAGTCCTCGAACGAGACAATGAAAAAATTAAAGTGCATCTAGATGGCTTTAAAGTGCAGCTAAATAGCTTGACTGGATCAATGGGCAGCTGACTGAATTGGTTGAAGGTTTGGTGCTTCAAAATCAGCTACCAAATCTGCCACAATGCCTACAACCTCCACCACCACATAACATATTAGTGTTACCGCCACGTCTACCACTTCGATATCCATCAATTCAACCGTGTAGAGTAAGATATAGGGAGTAGGTTGAAGAGGTTGAATCTTACCAAGGCATAAGAGTACCAAGTCAGTGTTACCGCCACGTCTACCACTTCGATATCCATCAATTCAACCGTGTAGAGTAACATATAGGGAGTAGGTTGAAGAGGTTGAATCTGACCAAGGCATAAGAGTACCAAGGCACCATGCCCAATATGATAAATATTCAGATAATCAAGGGAATGAAGATAATGGAACTGATGAAGACCATTATCAAAGAGACGAGGAATATGCATAGGATCCACAAGTTGAGAATTTACCACCAAAGGTTTTATGACGATCCAGTGGAGTATCCAACCATGTGTGTCGTTGACTTTCCACCTTTCAGAGATGCTCAACACAATATTGACTTGATTGTTACTCTATCATTCCAAACAAGTCAGCATATTGCGTTAATCCTATAGTCCATAAAAATATGCATGAACAAGAGGAAGGATTACCTAAACAGGAGTGGATAATAGAGAGTTTGTATGTTGGAGAAATAAGATGCCTTCACGTCATAAACATATGTGGTTATCATCAAAGTGATTATTAGTGTACAAGCGTTGCAATTGATGCATTCCCGAGAAGAGCGTCGATGTCTATGCTTAATTCAAAGCTAGACATGGAGTTGGTTAAGTTTCATGAAGTTCTAACACCAATAACTTCATATCGTAAGTTGAAGTTTGATAGTCAACATAGAAAGATTACATGGAGAAGGCTTGGTAGAAAGTTAAAACTTAGAAAGTGGGATTTAGTTCGACCAAATGCTAAGTTTGCTTACAGCAGGAAGAAGCTCTGTGATAAGCTAGCAAAATGTAACTTGAAACCTGGTGAGCATTGGGTCCCCATTCTTTAGTATAGCAAATCTTGTACCATCTATGGAAGTTGTTAGACTCGCGACGAGTCTTTTTCAACCAGGGGAGAATGACGCAAGATCAAGAAGGCCAAGAAATTCAAGAAGTTCTAGAATCCATTCAAGATTAGGATTTCTTTTTCATAAAGATTAGGATTTCTTATTTCCTGTTTCCTAGTAATTTGATTCTTGATTTAGTAAGATTAGAATTGTTAGTTGGTATTCCATTCTTATAGAATTCTTTTCCTATTTTAGTTAGGATAGGTTTTTCTTAACCTTATTTTTATTATAGTTTAATTAGGATTAGTTTTCCTTAACATCATCAATTTACTCATTGTATGGCCTATTTAAAGGGCTCAATATGTTGAACATAAATGTTGGTGATTAGTTTCTCTGAGCAAAGCTTCAAAATCGTGATTGACATTTTTGTTTCCTTTTTTTCGCTTTTCAATGCTTCTTGCAATCTTGTGGGATTAAGGACGTGTGAGTAAGGATTTTCCAACTTACATTCTTCTAACGTGAGGTTAAAGAACTCTTTCGCTAGATTTTATGAACAACTTTAGCGAAGTGCTTTTGTTTTTCTCTCTTCTTTGTGCTAGAGAGGTGCAAAACCTTAAAAGTACATCAGTAAAACATGGCCAAACCATCTTAGGCAATCTTCTCTCAATTTATCCTCCATGTGTTTACTTGCACCTTCTATTGGGTTTTGTTTATGACCGAGAAATCCACCTAGACCAGCCACATCCTTCGAAAGTCGAGAATAAAGGGATGCCCCTCTTTCCCCACTTAGATAACAGATTTAGTTTGCATGGCAAAGCATGAACCTGTGACCTAAATCACAAGTCCCTTAACCTTTGCCACTTGAACTAAGCCCCGGAAACCCCTCTATTGGATGTTATTATTCTAACGTTGTATAATCTTGTCAGAGACACATTCATCTTCTTCCTTTTATTTATTCAAGTAATAATTTTATTTAAAATAAGGCTCAAAAACCACCCATACACAAGAAGTATACCGAAAGGCAGAAAACCTACAAAAAGATATATTTTCTACGAACGATACTGAATCTTATACATAAAGGGAGCTCATGGTGACACCAAAACGAAATAAGGGATAAGAGGCTATTCCGCAGGGTAAAAAATGCATCTCAACACTTTAAAAAGTTCTCCTATTTTTTTCTCCAAACGACCAACATAAGCTCTTTCATTGTGCCTGGCATCACCCAAGTCATTTCGAACTCGCATATAATTTCCCACCATAACCTTGTGGCTACCGGATAATGGAGGAGGAGATGGTACACGTCTTTTCTGGAACCCTTACACATAAAGCACCAACTAATATACATCATCTTCCTCGTCCAACAATTCTCAATCGTCAATCCTGAGATACATTCATCTGAGCATTTGCATTTTTGTAACATTCATCTTGCAAATATTTTAAGACCCAACATTCACTCTCACAATATATTGCTAGTCTCACAACGTTATATAGAATTTGTCTTGCACTTTGTTTGGTATAATCCCATGGTATTATATGTTTTTGATAATGTAAAGTAAATTTCATTAATATGTACCAAGGAGGTATCACAAAAGTACAATAAAGAACTATCGTATAATTATATGTGTAACATCTTCATCAATCATGTCATTTTTCCTGAAAGAATGGATCTAAGTATTTAAATTATTTGTAGTTAGGCCATCTCCAACCCTTGCCTCCATTTTCTCCTCCAAAATGGAGTAAAGTTACTCCAACCATTACTCCATTTTTTACTCCAAAAAAGAATATTCCATTTTATATTCTTCTCTCTCTTCAATATTATATTATTATTTTTTATTCAAATTTTATTTTCTTATTTCTATTAAAGAAATTCTATCTTTTTTTCTTTTTTACATATTCATCACATATAATTTAATATAAAATTATTTTATACCATAAATTTTTAATTAATATAATTTGTAAGCAAATATTATAGATTATATATATTAACGGATAATTCAAATAAAAGTGAAATCATTGAGATACAAAATAATTAAATACATATTACATTATGGTAAAATTCGGATTAAATATTACATAAATATTCAACTTCCACCTCTAGTATGCTCCCATAAGTGATCTATTAATGCATTACGAAGTGCAAAATGAGCATCTTTATCCTTAATTTTTTTGTGTCGAGCCAAAAATTGCTCAAATCGGTGATTTTCATCTACTACCATTTCTACCGTTGGAGGTGGACATTCTCCCAATCATCTTGAATTGGTGCATTAAGATCACGCTCATCCTCGATTATCATGTTGTGCTTTATAATACATGTTGTGCTTTATAATACATGCAGTTATTTTATATTCGCACCTTTCAATTTTAGCAACATCTAATATTTTATATTTGCACCATTCATTTTTTGAGATGATTATATATTTTTTGTACAATTATAACTTATAATAAAATTAACTTACAATTTTACATAAAAATAATAAATGCACGAAAATTAATTTATCAAAATTATACGCCAAAGTTAAGTTGTAAAATTAATATTATAAAGATATTACATAAACATAATTAGTATATATAAAGAGATAAATTAAAAGAGTTAAATAATAAAAATAATAATAAAATAAGGATGAATAGTAATGGAGGGGATGAATAGTGTCACTCCAAATTTGGAGTAACACTATTCATCCCCATTTTGGGGGCAAAAATGGGGGAGCATTAGAGCCACATTTTGGCAAAAAAAATGGCTCCATTATGGAGAAATGGGGGAGGGTTGGAGATGCCTTAGGCATCATAATCTCAAATGACGTATCTAAAATAATACTCCATCAACAAAGAGATTGCATTAGAGGAAGCCACACAATTCTCAAACAAAAATGACAAAACTATAGAAAAACAACTAGCAACTCAAAATCAATAGGACTAAACGCAAGATACGTTATTTTTACCAAACATACTCTTAGCTACAAAGGAAAGCACGTTTCAGGCCTTTTAAGACTTTATAGAAGCAACATAATTGCTACAACCGAGCTTTACTTGTTAAAACTAGTATTTATGCCATATATATCGAAGTATTAAACTTATCCTCCTCTAAATTATAAGAAATAAACAATTATTATTATTATTATTACTTATTAAAGAAATTTTTATCTTTTGCGTGCTCTACTTCAACGACATGTATTGTTTTTCGAATTCGGTATAAAAAAAATACATCAATTGCAACATAACTAATACAGGGATTTTATCAATACAATGATTTAAAAAGCAACCAAACATAGTTAAATTGGANCAATCTAGGGCTAAACGAATGACCCAGAATATCAAATCAGAGCAGTATTGAGGAACAACAAACAAAATAGCACTGAACAGAATGCAGAAAATACACGGAGAATTTTAGGGGGGCTAATCGGTATACCTGGGTTTCTAGGGTTTGAAACCCGTTATTGCCAAGTGAAGTTTTTTGGGTGAATTTGAGTGAGAGTGTGTTTCTGGTGTCATAGTCTTTGCAATAATAATAAAGAACAGAAGAGGGGTTTAGTAGATTTTGAGAATCCAATCAGTAGGGAAAACAGGGAGTTACTTCTAATTCTATCCACTTGGACCCTTTGAAGGGTCCCACCTCAATTGCCACCTAGGTTTGGTACCATTTTGTTCTTTTTCTTTTTCTTTTTTGAGAGAAAGTAGACCGTTACAATTCACAAAGAGAGTAGTGGATTGTACAATTTGAAAAGATTTTTATTTTTGGGTAATATGAATTAAATGCATTTTGCATTTTGCATTTTTAAAGGTCTTGGTCAATCCAATTAATTGAGGTGGATCCAATATTATTATATAAACCTTTTATGTGTAATGCATTTTGAAGGAATAATACACGAGAGTTACGAATTGTGTCTTACTCTTTTATATGTTGTCGTCAGTTAATCGTAAGATCTTCGACAAGCAGGTACCAGTTAAAGCGAAAGATTTAATTTCAAGCTATTTGACCTATGGTCTCTTCATCGAACATTTTTCTAGCAAACAGTCCCTATCGTGACCAAAAGCTCACAATTTTTCACCTAATGTAATTGTAACTACTAGTTTTAGTCCTAGCAATAAGCATCATCACTAACTTGTGTATTGCTAGCTACTAATTTGCAGTCTTCTACTAATAGGCATCACCATGAACTACATTATTACTACAAACTTGTAATTTATCAACATGTATGATGGAGCTAAAACTCGGGTTAGGACAGTGGGGGACGACTCGGAGCATTTTTCGGTTATTATGGGGTTACACCAAGGATCTGCGCTCAACCCGTTCTTATTTGCATTGGTGATGGATGCACTGACACGCCATATTCAAGGGGAGGTACCTTGGTGTATGTTATTTATTGATAACATAGTGCTGATAGATGAGACGCGGGGCGACGTCAATGAGAGGCTGGAGGTTTAGAGACAGGCCCTTGAGTCTAAAGGTTTCGAGTTGAGCATGACTAAGACAGAATACTTGGAGTAGAAACAGGCATGGAAGTGAGGCTTGAATCACAGGTCATCTCCAAGAGAGACAGTTTCAAGTACCTTGGGTCGGTTATCCAGGGGGATGGGGAGATCGACGAGGATGTCACACACTGTATAGGGGTGGGGTGGATGAAATGAAGATTAGCATCTAGAGTTCTGTTTGACAGGAAAGTGCCACCGATACTCAAAGATAAGTTTTATAGAGTGGTGGTTAGACCGACCATATTGTATGGGGCTGAGTGTTAGCGAGTTAAGAAATCACATACCCAGAAGATAAAAGTAGCATAAATGAGGATGTTGAGGTGGATGTGCGTGCATACTAAGATGAATAATATTCGAAATGAAGATATTCAGGAGAAGGTGGGTGTGGTTCCTATGGATGCCAAGATGCAGGAAGCGAGGCTTAGATGGTTCGGGCACGTACAGAGGAGAAGCCCGGATACCCCGGTCAGAAGGTGTGAGCGGCCTAGGAAGTAGTGGGGAGAGGTGATCAGACAGGACATGGCGTGGCTTCTGATTTCCGAGAACATAGCCCTTATAGGAAGGTGTGGAGGTCGCATATTAGGGTTGTAGGTTAGGAGGTGGTTGAGGCTAGTCTGATAAAGTTGTATCTCTTACTGCTAGTGGTTAAATTTATGTTCACACTATTCTCCGTTTTCATTGTGCCAAGCTTTATTTACTGGTTATTGTTATTGCTTTATATTTATTTTCTGTTTCTTATGTTGATGTCATTATCTCTTGATTTTTTTAGTTGATGGTACTGATATAGTGTTTCTTTTCATCGTTTTGAGTCGAGGGTATTTCGAAAATAGCCTCTCTACCCCCTCGGATAGTGGTAAGGTCTGCGTACACACTATCCTCCCCATACCCTACTTATGAGATTTTACTGGGTTGTTGTTGTTGTTGATTTATATTGTAAGAGTAAACATTTTTGCTCCACTCTCATCATTAGGCACTATTATTACATTTTTATTTTAAGTTTATAATAATTGTCGTTAAAAATTAAATGATCCAAAAAAAAACTAATTGCATATTATCTCTTAAAGTCATATCTTGTATTTTAGATTAATGGTCTACAAAATACAACTTTACGGAGAGCTAAGAATAGGGTACTATAAAGCCCCGTAAAATTTTGTAAGGTTTTAAGACTTTAAAGTGCACCACCAACGAATAAAAATAACATTTTGTGTGCTGAATGAGGCTACAGATTAGTAATATATTACTTGGACATGTCACTAGAAGTAATTTTGGGTCTAGGAAGAGCCCTAGGGCCAAGCAAATTTGAAAAACTGCTCGGACTAAAGTTTTAAATGAACTTGCACAAGATCCAATTTCAAACAAGCACAACTCCCAAGTTATAACGAGTTAGTAGCATATTGACATGCCAAAGTGTTAATTAGAGCAAAAAGAGCTTGATCACCAACTTTGGATCTCTTTATATTTAAGCTTAAATATAGATCGCGGTACTTGTGAATGTTGAGTCATCACGTTCGCGGTAAGTATTACGCGATCGCATAGTGGGCGACCATGCTGGGGAGGCCAGGTTTATTGTTCTTCGCGTTCGCACTGTTTTGTTTGTGATCACGAAAGCGAAGGTCGCTGTGAGTCGCGTCCGTGATTGTGTTTGTGCGTTCGCGTAAGGTTATTTTTGGCAGCCTTCATTTTTCTCTTCGCTATCGCGAGGAATGTTTCGCGATTGCGATGTGTAATATCCGGGAAGAATATAAAAGTACTCTATTTCGAGGGTTATGATATTTTTATCACTTTTTGGGTTAGAGAGCTCGGTTTTGGGCGATTTTGGAGTGGATTTTTATGTTTTGGATTGGAGTAAGTATTCTTGACCCGAATTTTATTATATTTCATGATTCCATATTTGTTTTTATAATTTAATTAGTGATTTGGATTGGAAAAATTGGAAATTTTTGTAAACACTTTTAAAAATATAAAATGATGAGTTGAAGGCCGATTTGGTGTCGGAATTGAATAATTTTGGTATATTTGGACTCGTATCGAAATGTGTGTTCGGATTTTATGAGTTTTGTCGGGTTTTGAGGTGCGGGCCCGGGGTAGAATTTTTGGGTTGCCTTTTTAGTTTCATTAAAGATCAAAACTTTATTATCCGAAATTGTTTCCTATGGTTTCTATTTATGATATTGAGTTATTTTGGCTTTGAGCCGTTCTGAGATTGTTTCACACGACAAAGTCATTTTAGATTATTGATTTGGCTTCTTTGAGGTAAGTATCTTGCCTAACTTTGTGTGGGAGAACTATACCTTAGGATTTGGGATTTATTGTATTATTTGAATTATGTGAAAGGCGTGTACGCGAGGTGACGAGTGCGTACTCGGACTTATATGTGAAAATTGACCGGTTTAGACTCCTAGGCTTCTTTCATGTATTTACTTGAAGTTGTTACATGTTATATCTTTTATTTGTCAAGTTTGTTCTTTCATGTATTTATTTAGAGTTATTAGCACATGTTGTATCTTTTACTTGTCAAGTTTACTCTTATATGCTTTATTTGAAGTTGTTACCTCTTTTATTATTATGTGACTTCTTTTATTGTTGAGTTATTCTTAATTGAAATTGTTGTTACATGATATCCTTTCGTTACCGAGTTATTCTCATGCATTTAGACGTAGTTGCTAGTTCATGCCATCCCTTTCATTGTTAGCTTATGTCGTACACTAGAATTCGAAGTTTGGCATTTCATGAAAATACCTTCATTATTGAGTTTATTCTTAAGCAATTAACTGGAGTTGAAATTATTGAAGGTCATTAATCTATTTTAGTTGAAGTTGTGTTTAATGGGGTGTTGTTCATTATTGAGTTTCTTTCCGGTTCATTTAGTTGTTATTGGGAGTTTGGACACATCGTGTTTGAGCTGTGGGCTATGTGATGAGGTAGTATTTGTATTGTTATTTTGAAAAGGTTGTAGCCTATGGGAACTTATGGTACGAGTTGATATATCGAACTGTTGTGATGTTAGCACATGTAAATTTTTTGTGTGGATTGATTGTTGTTATGCGGAGCATAAGGGTGGTATCTCACTGTTATTGTTATGCGGAGCATAAGGGTGGCATCTCACTGTTGTTGATTGTGCGGAGTGATACGAGTGGCTATTGTGTTAATATCTAAGTGGAGCGATAATGGTGGCTATTATGTAGAGTGATACAGGTGGCTATCTGAATGATAGATGTGGCTAATGATATTATCAGGACAGAGTGATACATGTGGCTATCAGAGTGATAATGGTGGCTATTGTATAAATTTCTAGGCGGAGTGATAAAGGTGTCTATTATGATGTTATCAATACGAAGAGATAAGGATAGCAATATCAGGGATAATGTGTGATGGTCTGGGAGTGTTATGTTGATGATATTCATGTGATGGTGTGATTTTCCTTGTGTATGTCATACACCTTACGTGACTTGTTGTTGCTTTAAATGAGCTACTCGATGTCTTTGATATTACTTATTGACTTGGGCTGTAATAGCACACTCGTACAAGCATACACCGAAGCATGCCACTTATACTAGTTCAGGAGTATGAAACTTAACATTTATTGATCATGCCCATGTATTCTTGTATTATCTACTTTCATTGTGATATTGAGTGTGTGACCATTCCGGGTAAATTATGATATTGAGCATGTGATCATGTTGGACGGATAGTGATATTGAGCCTGTGACCACGCTGGGAGGATTGTGATTGTGAGCCTGTGATCATGTCGGGCGGATTGATATTGGCACGTAAGTTGTTCGTGCGGTTGTGATTAGTAATGTGGGCACAAGGTGCCATGAGCATATGATTCGTGATTTGGGACTCGTGACTTGTGATTGTGAGATGAGGTATCCCAGAGTAATTCATCGTGAGACTTGTGTTAGAACGACTTGATTAATTGGTTGTCATTTGCCTTCCTTATTTGGTTTCATGGGTACTTTAACGGTGTTCTTATTACTTTACTGTTTATATCACATGTTGATTCTTGTTGCCGTTTACTGATTCTTGCTTTCATTATTAGCTTTATACTTCTATACTGCACATATTATTTTG